GAGTGGCAGTGCTTGGAGCAGGGGCTATGCCCTGCTGCCAGTTGCCCAGCCGGGGGGGGTGGGGGAGCAGGATATGGACGTGGCTTGCTCCAGGCAGAAGGGGGCAAGTGGCAGCGGGGCATAGCCTCCACTCCCAGCGGTGCTGTGCCTACATCCTATGCCCCTCCCCTCCGGCTGTGCAAGCAGCGGCAGTGACCGCCCCCTGCTCCAGCTGGGCAAGCTGTAGCAAGGCAGAGCCCCTGCCTCTAGTGCTGATGTGGCCACCGCAGCGCTGGGAGTGGGGGCTCTGCTCTGCTGCCATTTGCCCAGCAGGGGCGGGGGGTAGGGGCAAGTTGCGGGCTTGGCAGCGCTAGGAGCAGGGGCTATGTCCTGCTGCTGCTTGCCCTCTTCCACCTGGAGCAAGCCACACCTGCATCGTACCCTCCCCCAGCTGGGCAGCAGCACTGGGAGCAGGGGCTATGCCCTGCTGCCACTTGCCCAGCCGGCACAGGGGGGTGCATGGGAGGGTGCGGCACTGTTGGGAGCAGGGGCTAAGTCCTACTGCTGCTTGGCCCCTTCTGCCCAGAGTGAGCCATGCCCTCATCCTGCCCCCCACCACCCTGGCTGGGTAAGTGGCAGCAGGGCATCCTGCACCTTCCCCTGTCCCCCTCCTTGAGTCCTGTGCCCCTCACCCTGGCTGGGCAGCTTGTCCCAGCCCCAGTCCCTCTCTCCCCCACATCCATTCCCTCCCCCTCTCTGCCCACCACAACAGACTTATCAACTGGAGGCAGCTGTGTCCAGCATGGTGAGGATTGCTGCCTGTTTATTGCTGAATATCTGAAGCAGCCAAATCTTTTCCAGTTTGATTTGGAGCTTTTGATTGGCCTTCCGATTCAGTCACCAAATCAGGCCAAATCTCCTCTGAATCAAATCAGCTACCAAAGCTTTGCACAGCCCTAGTGCTTATCCCCTGATCTGCAGGCCAGATCTGGCCCCCAGCACCAGGTCATTGATGGCACTACTCCTCTGGTGTCACATTTCTGGACCTGTGGGAAACCCTGTAGGCCAGAGAGAGTGACCTTGTTTGCTGGATCAAGCATTTGAGGCTGGGTAGGAATGGTGTAGGTCCTGGCCCTGGTGTGTGGGGCAGTACCTGGCCTGATCTCAGGTACAGAAGAGGTGGGGTGGCACAGGGCCCTGAGGCCCAATCCTGGCATTCAGGGCAGTTGCAGGGCCCAATTCAGCAGTGCAGAGTAAGGCAGAGGTAGCATAAACCCTGATCTGTTCTGCAGACTAGCCCATGTGGCCAGAAGATTGAGCACTACTATCATAGAACAATTAGAATCCAATTTTTAAGTAGACTGGTACAAACAAAAGTTTCACTTACACAGTATCATTTTACTAGTGACAACCAATAAACCAAACTGCTGCTAGAATTCTTCTGAGATTCCCATTCTCTAGGTGGTGCTTGGCCCTTGGAAAAAATTTGTTCTTTTCATTCATTAAATTGAAGCATACTTTGAATGTTTGAGCTTGGAGGCAATGGTGACTGGTATGGATGAACTTGTAGTTGATAATACAACTAGAGTTTAGTATAGAATGATAGCTACCATTTGCCTTCTGGAATTTCTTTTTATAAAAATAATTTCTAGCTCATTGCATCTCCACTAGTTTCTAGGTGACACTCTTATTTCTAGGCGATACCATGGCTTCTAGGTGTCTTGTGTTTCTGCAGAAATTTAAGAGCAGCTCAAAATTGTTGCATAGCAGGCATATCCATTTGGAGACAACCTTTTGTTTAGCTTGTATATATTCCACTTCCAACAGCTGTAGAACTGGCTTTCATTCTCATTCTCCAAATTTTTTTCTTAGTATCTGTACATCTTTAAAAAAAATGGATTTCTGCCCAATTTGAGCAACCAGTGGGTTATGTAACTTTTTTCTCCAAAAGGCTTTAAGTGCTGCTTTTGGCTTTCTGTTGAAATACTCTCTCAGCTCTTACCACTGCTGCTGAGCAGAAACAAAAAGACCATCTATGAAGCTCCAAACTCCTCAGAAGGATTAAAATGAGAGGCTTATTCTCATCTAGATATCATCATAAAGCCAGGGGAAGTGGTAGTGCAGCAGAGACTCTTCTGGAAGATGCTAGGATCTTTCTTTGCAGACTTCCGGAAGGGCAGATATACATCAAAATTGCAGCATTTATAATTTAGGTGCCAAACTTTCTGCATCTCAAACACCCTTTTTCTTTAAAGTGAACTTTAAAAAAAAAAATCTCTATAGTTCCTACAAAGTCTCTTTGTTTTTAAAGGGCTTTTGGTATACCTTGAATGCACAGCTCAAAGTAACATACTGAGGGAAGTCTGGCAGATTTTAAGAGAGACATCACCATCTCCTCTGTCTTCAGAAGGGGTAGAAAAATTTATTTAATAGCCTACCATAAATCATTTGAAAGGCTCTTTAGTTGCAACCACAAGGTACATTTTCCTGTTAAGACAGTAGCCCAGTCCTTCACAAAGAGATCAAGAAAAACAGGATAAACCAAGTGAAAATCTTTTATTTTCTTTTGAACAACAACAATATTCTTCATGAAAAATGACCAGGAAAATTTTGAGAACAGGATACTTCAAAGGTATGTGTACATTATCGTTCTTTCCCCTGTGCTTATTTGGCCTTATGGAATAGTAGTTGCACAGTACCTTACATCCAGCCAGTGAATGGAAAGAGAGAAATAATCTACATTTCAAAATTCAGCCCCGATTCATTCTGTCCCCCCTTTTCTTAATTTACTCCCTTTACCTCCAATCATGGTTGATCAAATTTCCTTTATACACAGTAGGAAGGGAGGAGAGATTTTAATAAACCCCAATGTTTATTAAGCTTTAAATGTTTATTAACATTGGGGTTTATTAAAATCTGGACCCAAAAACCTGATCCAGATTTTAAAAAATAGACAGCATTGGCTTCCAGAATGGTCCTTGCTTCAAGCGGCAATTTATGTTTGATTTGATAGAGTTAAACAAGAACTAGAAGGACTTTGTAAGGACTTTAAGCCTGTCATCTCTGCTATGCAAGAAATATTGGGCGTGTCTACATGAGATGCTAAATGTGCAGAAGAATAATTCTATTGTGAATTAGCGTGGCAAGCAAAACCTGTGCTAGGGTGCAGTAGATTTAGTCTAATGTGCATTTTTAAAAGCATTCATCTGCACTAATGCACAGTAGCACCAATTTACAGCGCATTTAGTCAGTGCCTGTCATTTTAGGTGTAATGCACTGTAATTACAGTGCATTAATGGATGTGTAGATGTACCCACTGCCAGCCAAATTCTAGCATGATGTTGTAGTGGTATGACTGTTATAGTAATACAGAGCCTACCATTAATCAGGAAGATTGTTTTTATCTCTTCTGTAGTTCATAGTGAACATATTTAGTAGAATATTTCAGTAGTTTCAGTGTCTTCCGCAATCAGGGGTTTAGTCTCTGAAAAAGTAGTAAAAAAGCCGTAAACACCAGAGACTCATTCAGCACAAAACATTTTCCTTGTAAGCTTGCAGTTGAAAAAGCTGGTTATTATTTCCATGATAAGGTTTCCAAGGACTCATCTGTACCTGTTCCTGGATGATACTAAAATGAGCCTGCTATTTCCAGAAAATCTTGGAGAAATCATTGGTAAAGAGCATGAAAAATTGCCAATTCATCCTTGCCAAAGTCTTCCAGAAGCCAGAAGAAACTGCAATCCCAGTTACATTAGCAGTTCTTTGGCTGTATTCCTAGGCTACTTTGCTCCAGTTGACCTATCAGATACAGAACTGTACTTCACAATTCGCTGCAGTCAGTGTTAGCCTTTCTTATAATTCAGACTACTGTCAGACACAAAACACATTTGCCTATCCAGTTGTCAATCCAAAACATGTTTATAGAACCACTCAGGATTTTTATTCACAAATTGAGGTTGAGTCCCCTACTTTTCCCCCATCTCA